GGAGCTGTCAAGCAGGGAAAGCCAATGAGCGCGCCCCTAGCGGCCTGCGCTCAGCCAAGCCGCGCCTTAGCCAATCAGGGTGCGGTTTGGCTTGTTACTAGCCGCTAGGACGTAAGTTGAGAACTTTCCGAGTCCTCAACACCCCTCCCCCCCCCAGCGAGAGCGCATGAGCGGCATTGGAGCATGCGTAGTTGGCCAGATAGGCGGGGCAGTGCCGGACCTGCCCAGAATGCCTCAGTCCTGCAGGAGTCGTCGGAGGGGTGAGTTGTGCTCGCTGAAGCTCCTCCCCGAAGGGAGTGGAGCTCCGAGCGATGCCATTTTGGGACGGCCCAGAAGGCAGGTGCAACTCAGCTGGTAGGCCGGGACGTGGGGGTGTGGCGTCTGGGGAGGAGTCATGGTGCCGGTAGGCAGCGGCCGGTGAACTACAATTGTTGTAACTGGGGAAAGGAGCTGGATCGGCTTGAGGCAGAACTGGGGACGTTGGCCAGCAGGTGGCATCCGGGTAGGTGGGGCCTGCCTGGGGAAAGGCCTGTGTGTTTAAATCAGGAACCGCAAACTCGGGTTGAGCAAATGAACGGGCAGGTGGAAGTCCTGCAACATCGGAGTAGGAGAGGCCTGCCTGGGGAAAGGCCTCAAACTGGAACCTGTTGACTGGCTGGAGGGCAGCGGTGTCCTGGGCCCCTGGATCAGAAGGGGCGTTGGTCTCAGTGGAAAGACGCCTCCTTAACTGATCCATGTGGCGCCTCCACTCGGATCCATCGGCCAGTCCGACCCTATAAGAACAGGGACCGGTTATGGACAGAAAAGAGGCAGCCACCCATTTAGCGTCCTCAGAGAAAGAGCGGGCCCAAACCAAGTCCCCCACCTGGAAAGAGCGGGAGGGGGGAACCCCCAGGTTGCACGGCTGCTCCCCTGAATAGAGTGGATGGAGCCTATCCAGGGGGGTCCGCAGGCACCGACCCATCAACAGCTCCACGGGGCTTTTGTTGGTCATTGGGCAGGGGGTGGAGTGTTGGCCTAGCCTGTGTGTGTTTACCTTTATTTTAATTTTATTTTATTTGAACATATTTTTAACACAGAGAGACATACATGAGATAGGCATATGTTTTATATTTTTATGTGTATTTTTATGTTTTTTCTGTCATTTGATGTGTTGTCTACCTTTTGTAAAGACTTCTAGCTCTAGGGAGTTATAAAAAAATACAACACATGAATCTTTTCATGAGGAAAAACAAAACCATAGGGAGTGGTTTTGTAAACACTATTGCTACACGCGAAATGTGTGCAATGTTTGTATTCCTACCTGAGGAGGACTCAAATTACACTTGGTTGGATTTCTGGTTGGATTACTTGAGGAAGAAATGAAGACGTTGGAGGTTAGCCACGCCACTAAAACTCCAAGACACTCGCACACAAGATACTCCGAATTCCTGTGGTGAACACAATGAACATGATAAGCTTGTATTAAATTCTTTATCCAAACTGAGTCTATCAAGAAAGATGAATTGGAAGTCTGTATTCAAACAAGAAAAATAAAAATGGCAAGGGCAGAATAAATGTAAAAAAACCAGGAAGGCAGCTCCT